GGAACATTTCTCTGTAATGGTAATCAAACTCCCTTCCTGCCTCAAGTGGCCCTGGGAGCAGGCCAGTGTATCTGTAGATCACAGGAGCAGTGTCCTCCCTGGTGTGAACCTGAGGTCCTGTGGAAACTGCCCACGGAGCACTGGCAAACATGAGGGACCTGAGGGCACTCCTAAGCACAGGCCACACACCCCTGGGGGATAAGAAAGTGGGAAGAGCCAACAGGGGATAGGACAGGTCGATCTGTGCTGGGAGGCAAACCCGCCTGTCGCCGGCTGCCCTGACGAGGGCCCCGCCCCCGCCCCGCCCCACCCTCACTGCCACTTACAGGTGGTCCTGACGCTTGAAGGCCTTGCTGCAGATTTTGCACACGTGCTTCCTCTCCTGGCTGTGCGTCAGGTAGTGCTTGCTCAGGGAGCTGGAGCTGCTGAACACCTTCCCGCAGAGGCTGCAGTCCACAAGCGGTTTCTGGGGAGAGCTGTGGGATAGCTTCCCTTTCCTGGTGCTCCCTGAGGTCGTCCTGCCCCCTTCCTCAGCCTCTTTAGGCACCTTAAGTGTGCCCAGACCCAGATCTAAACAGAGGGAGAAAGCCCAGGTTACAGGCATCCGGGGACGTCCAAGAGCAGCCCTAAGGCTTGTGTGGTGCTGGGAGCCACACTGACCTGGTGGGAGCCAGCCGTGGACACGCACTCCCACCTCGGCAGCTTTCTTGACCCAGGGAACAAGGTTCCAGAGCAGGCGAGTGGGAGACGGGGCCCTGGGCAGGGTGCACCTGAGGAATGGCGCCCCGTCCTGGTGCCACAATCAGGATGGTGGCCCTGTGAAGCACTTCCATGGCAGGGGGACCAAGACAGGTAGAGGGTTGGACGGACACCATAGAATGGCACCCTCAGGAGGGCAAGTAGGGAATACAGTGAAACCTGTGAGAGCTGGAATTCCATGGACTGCCTCGTTTTTCGGGCTCTCACCAGTTTCCTGCCTCTGACAGGGTACATTTTCTATCGCTCCTTTGAGTCTGAATATATTTGAGTTTTCCTTCTCTGATAGGTTTCTGACTTACACAGGTTCCAGCTTTCGGTTTTACTGTATTACTTTTCTAATTAAAAAAAAAAAAGTATGAATATGTACTTAAAAGGACTTGAGGGTAAGTTAGAGAAATGTGAAGATTTGTTAAAATTCAAGGTTCTGTCAATTCCTTCCTTTCCAGTAAGGTGCAAGTTTAGTAGAGATTAGGAAAAGAAGACCTTGATTGAGGACCTGGACAATTTGGGACGGTCAGACTCTCAGAAAATAGAATGCCAGCCACAGGTTTCCCTGCTCAGCAAAATGCACTCTTGCTCCCAGGACCAGAACTTCACCTGTAGCCTCTGTGGCTCACGCTAGGAACCCTAATGACTGTACCCCCGGGCCTGGCCCAGTGCTTACAACACTGTGGAGGTCCCACAAGATGGCCCGCGATTCTCGGACTTCATACTTTGCTGTTGTTCCCACACAGTGGCAGTGATGAGGCTAATGCTTTGTTGGCTAAATCCTGTGTGTGTGGGGAGGGGCTCAGAAGTTGTTCTTTTTTGCAAGTCACTGGGGGTTTCTTGACCTGCTTATTATCCCAACAAAAAGGAGCTCTGGTAGTGCAGGGGTTAAAGCATTTGGCTGCTAACCAAAGGATCCATGGTTTGAACTCACTAGTTGCTTGCAGAAGAAAGATGAGGCAATTGGTTTCCATAAAGATTGACAGCCTTGGAAACACTGTGGGGCAGTTCTACTCTGTCCTCTAGAGACTGTGAGTGGGAATCAACTCCCCGGCAGTGGGTTTGGTTTGGGCTTTGCGTCCCTAAAGATTGACAGCCTAGGAAACCTAGGTACAGTTCTACTCTGTCCTCTAGGGGCACTGTGAGTCAGAATTGACTCAGTGGCTTCTTGTTAGGTGCCACTGAGTTGTCTCCAGCTCATAGCAACCCTGTGCACAGCAGAACACTGCACGGTCCTGTCCCAGCCTCTCTGTCCCTGCTATACCTAAGCCCATCGTTGTAGCCACTGTGTCAATCCATCTCATTGAGGGCCTTCCCCTTCTTCGTTGACCCTCCACTTTACCAAGCATGATATGAGCACATGACCAAAGTAGGCGAGACAAAGTCTGGCCATTCTCGCCTCCAAGGAGCATTCCAGCTGCAGTTCTTTCAGGACGGATCTGTTAGTCTTTTTAGCAGTCCATGGTACTCTTAGCATTTTTCTCCAACACCACAACTCAAAAGCATCAACTCTTCTAGGGTCTACCTTATTCATTGTCCAGCTTTCACATGCATAAGAAGCAAATGAAAATACCATGGAAACATCTGTACTTCTCATCATTTTAAAGAGGTCTTTTGCAGCAGATTTGCCCAATGCAGTAATATTGTTGTTGTTGTTGTTATGTGCCGTAGAGTCGGACCTGACTCATAGCAACCCCTCCTTGGGTTTCTGAGGCAGTATCACTAATGAAGTAGATTGCCCCATCTTCCTTCCGAGGAGTGGCTGGTGGGTTTGAACCGCCAGCCTTCTGGTTAGCCATCAAGTGCCCTAAAGGCACTATGCCACCAGAGCTCCTAATGCAATAATATGTCATCTGATATCTTGACTGCTGCTTCCATTGGTGTTGATTGTTGAATCAACTAATATGAAATCCTTGACAACTCAATCTTTTTTTCCATCCATCATGAAGCTGTTTTATTGGACCAGCTGTAAGGATTTTTATTTTCTTGATATTCAGGTGTAATCATACTGCAGACTGTTGTCTTTAATATTCATCAGTAAATGCTTCAAGTCATCCTCACTTTCAGCAAGCAAAGTTGTATTATCATGTGTATCACAGGTTGTTAATGAGTCTTCCTACAATCCTGATACCACGTTCTTCCTCAAAAAATCCAGCTTCTCAGATTATTTGTGCAGCATACAAGTTGAATGAGTATAGTGAAATGATCTGACACTGGCACACTCCTTTCTTGATTTTGAACCATGCAGTATCCCCTGTTCTGTTCAAATGACAGCCCCCTGATCTACGTACAGGTCCCTCATGAGTACAATCAAGTGTTCTGGAATTCCCATTCTTCTCAATGTTGTCCATAATTTTTTCTGATCCACACAATCGAATGCTTTTGCATAGTCAATAAAAACCTAAGTAAATATCCTTCTGGTATTTTTTCCTTTCAGCCAAGATCCATCTGACATCAGCAATGATATCCCTCATTCCACGTCCTCTTCTGAATCTAGCTTGCATTTCTGGAAGCACTCTGTCAATATACTGTTGCAGCCATTTTTGAATTATCTTCAGTAAGATTTTACTTGCATGTGATATTAATGATATTGTTCAGTA